GGCCTCGGTTTTTTGGGATGCTAAAGGCATCATCTTTATTGACTACCTAGAAAGAGGAAAGACCATTAATGCTGTCTATTACTGTGAACTTTTGGAAAAACTGAAGAAAGAAATCGAAGAAAAGAGGCCACACTTGAAGAAGAAAAAGGTTATGTTCCACCACGATAATGCACCTGTACATTCCGCCAGAATCACTGAACAAAAGATGAACGAACTTCGCTTCCAATTAGTTACACATCCACCGTACTCACCTGATTTTGCCCCCAGTGACTTGTACCCTTTTCCAAACTTAAAAAAATTCTTGGCTGGAAAGAGATTCCACTGAAATGACGAAGTCATCTCTGAAGTTAACGAGTATTTTGCACACCTTGACAAATCGACCTATTGTGATGGTATAAAAAAGCTACAACATCGCTGGAATAAGTGCATTGCTAACAAAGAAGACTATATTGAAAAATAAAAAAAAGTTTTAACATTATTTTGTTTGTTGTTCTATTTGAAGCCGCGAACTTTCCGAACAGCCCTCGTATTTAACTGACATTAAAAATTTTCGAGTAAATATTACTTTAAAACACTATTATACTGTATTTAAATTAAAATTGATAAAAAACTTTCATTTTAATTTTTATTAAAATTAATGTTTTAGAAGCAGTAATCCCATCTTTGGCTTGCCATTCACTGCCTAATTTTCTAGGACCATTTAAAGTTTAATTAAATTATTAACATTTTTATAAGATTTTTCTCCTTTATAAAATTCTATACATAGGATCTCTTTAGACAATAGGTTATATAGCCTATATATAAAATATATTTCAAAATTATTTTGTATGGAGCATTATCTTTATATAAAAACCCTGTAGAAAATTTTAAAAAATCGAAAATATTTAATTTAAATATAAATAAAAGTTATTTGAGTAATTGTAGACACTTCTGAATAGTATTGAGTAAACAAAGCAAGAATAAGACAGGAATGTTGCACTTTCTTCTGTAAAAAGAACGTCAAAAAATTCAGAAGCCTTCATATAAAAACCCTGTATAAAATTTTAAAAAATCGAAAATATTTAATTTAAATATAAATAAGAGTTTTTTGAGTAATTGTAGATACTTCTGAATAGCATTGAGTAGACAAAGCGAGAATAAGAGAGGAGTGTTGCGCTTTCTTCTCTAAAAAAAGCGTCAAAGAAATGGAGAAGTCGAATTAAATTTAGTTTTATGTATAAACAATAATATATCCTAACAATAATTTTATGAGACAATATAGTTATTTAAAGAAACGTGACTTATACAGGCGATGTTTTTCGCATCGACTATTAACGCAACTTCCACGTTCTGGAAGTTGAAGAAGGTCCAATCACGTGACTTTCCTCGGGCTTTGTTTACTTTTAGACACGGTCAATAAACTCTCATTGTCGTCCGTCCATCTTTCCTTAATCTCCAGAACGAAGTTAGATAGATGAAAGATGAGACCAGAAATGGAAACCTTAGGGGTAGGAGGCTCCGATGAACTATATACGATACTATTCTCGTCATATAATCGATCATTTTACCTTAAAGTGAGTTATCTATATTAATTATCATACTAATTATATTACAATTATCGCGTTTTTAATTTAACCATTCATTTTCTTATTTAACACGAACAAAAGAAGCGACAGTCCGCGACCCTCAGCATTTAGTCAGACGAATGAAATGGAACTTATTCTAGTTCGAGACGACGAAACTCCACAGCCAAGAAAGCGAAAAAGAAAAAGCCTTACCCGTATTAGAGATCTTAACCGAGATCGGAAGTACAAAGTCGAGCGAACATACGTTATGACAACAATGGTTAAAGATGTCGTTGATTCTTCTCAAAAAACGCAAATTCTTGATACCGCAGAGGCTCTAAAACAGGCTGGAGTTGGAACCGCTCAGACATTACCGCAAGCTGTTGATTTAGACTGTGTATGATTTTGCGGACGAGATTGAGTAATTCCTTCAGTCACAAATGCAAGATTCTGTCTCCTCAAAATAGCTTTCGATCCGAACGTTCGACCGACTTATTTCGGCCTCGGACCGATGTCGTATGTCTAGAAATGAGACTGGCAATTCACATCTAACGAAAATGCTGCGTGGCACGATTGCGGAGGTCCTTAGCACCCTATTACGGAATGATTGTAGAGATTGAGCAGCAAAATCAAGAGGAAGTAGTGATTGAAAACTCTGCAGCGTAAAAGCGATCTCTTTAGAAGAAATTTTTAGCTCAGACAACTCGCTAACACTCGACGAAACGAAGTGTCGAACCATTTCGTGTCCAAAGAACTGTAGAAGATGAATAATAGAGGTTGTAGCTAAGAGACTAAATACAGACCAAATTGCACTATAGAATTGACGCTTCGTCTGGAGAAGAGAAAACGTATTTGAGCCTAGAGAGCGTAATTTCCGACGACCAGAACGAGCGCACGCATTGAAAATTTCTGCACGCGACTGGGACGAATGGATTTCCGCCACGTAAGTAAACATTAAAGATCGGAACCGTAGTCGCGCTGACCAGGAATCTTAACACTAAAAAAGGATTGGATTGGATGCAAAATTAAAAGAAGCATCTTGGCACCGGAGAACAGGTCGACGCGAACTTACTGTAGTGATATTTGTGTAGAACACCAAATTTTAAATGAGTTCATTTAATCTATTTTAATTAAATAAAATGGTCTATTTCGATAGGTTTTTTTCTAGTTTATTTAAAAACGAAAACGTTTCTGGCAACATCGCACGATCAGTACTCGCCTCCAACGTAAAGATGCGCTTTCAACTTCGGCAGCAGTCTAAATTCGAAATAAGTTTAATAATTTTTCAGCCATTCGACGTTATGTGAAGCTCCGGAAGTAGGTCGAAATTCGTGCACAGAAAATGTTTTAATTTCGTATGGAAAAAACTTTTTATAATTATTATTCTTATAATATTGTAAAAAGAAACCGTCGAACGCAAAATGAATATTTTATGTCCATATAAGGACATATCTGTAAAAATTTCTAAGAAAGTCGAACTACTCAGGTTAAAACAGTGGATGAATTTGAGTACTTAGATCGAACGTCTTCGATAGGAATCAAATTGCCAGTCGGGGGTGACTCACCCCGCGATCTGGGCTCCGATCCCGTTACAATTCGTAACGAGGAGGGGAGAGCAATTAGAGAACGGGGGGCAGATCGACATCGACCTATCGGAATGTTCGATCTGGGACCCAGAAAAAACTTATAAAAACCGCACAAAGATGTGACGTTCTTGGTTCTAAGTTCGGTGTGCTCCGCTTCTGGATTTTTCCTGCGGTTCAACAACGGGAACTTGGTCGTCGTTCCGAAAGAAGTTTTCGCCATCCCGTCCCAGCAAGTTTCGCCAAGAGTAATCTGCTACGAGAATCACCCCTTCAAGTTGTGCTGTGCGCCCCGGAGCCTACGTTTTCCTCATCATCTTCACCAAAAGGAGAATAGATTGTAGAAAAGATTGAACTTTATTTACGAACTGATTCACTCTGCGGATAGGCCTTACGCCGAAGTAAAACAGTAGTTGTAAGCGAAATTTTTATATTTAATAAATAGTTTGCGATGAAGGACCTGTCTCAGTAAGTTTCTTTCACTCCCACACGACAGTGCTGGCCGCTCGACTGTCGCGACACTTTCTCCCCAATCGGCAAACATCACACTGGTGTCCGAGAAGTGGGATTTTAAGTCCCCAATCTCCACCGGGTCAACGACTTCACTGTTATTTTACTGTTTATTATGAACAATATTCAAATAAGAAACAAGCCAATGTTTGAATTACACATATTATGAGCATAGCTTTAAATTGCAGACGGCTCGCGAACGTTCGAGCATTAAACTCAATTACTCTATATAAATTTAAGTCGAGCTGTAGGACGTGGTTGCGCGTACGCTCTCTTGGCCCTCAATAGCTTACCTCATTGGTTCTTAAAAGATTATTTAAGCGTTGTTTAGATTAAAAGGTAATATTATTATTATTAAATAACGAGTGTCTTGGAGAAACTGGTAACCATTTAGGCGTTAGACACGCGAAGAAAACCCTAAAACTCTAGTCTGTTTGTAAGGCCCGAAGTGGGACCAATGCGGAGAAAATAATCATTCCGAAAAACTCTGAAAACTAATAAAACTGCATCGAGAAGGAGACGATATTAAACTGAAATTCTGTAATGTGTTAAAGATACGACTTTCGTTCCATCACTTACTATCTGTTAGTTTAGATTAAATTAGATTAAATCCAATTTTAAAAAATATTGAATATCGAATTATAAATCACACGGAGATTATTTATGTTATTTAATTGCGCGATGCGTTTAAAAGTGCGTTAACGTAACTTAATACGCAGTAGGTTCCCGTTTTCATCATCATCGGGCTGCACTTTGAAAAAATTGCGGTCTAACGATGGTGAAAAAACCTATAAATTCCCATTGCCGTTTGGCTGTCTGTCTGTTCTTAAGCTCGAGAACGGTGTTAGATAGATGAAAGTGAAGACCGTATTCGGAAAACTTAGGGACGGGCGGCTGCCGATAAACTATACACGAACATCCATTTTAGACCGAAAGTCACGTTATTTCAATTCAAAAACTTTCTCCGAACTGAGTTAGATTCACGACTGGCGTGACTTCTTGTTAACAGGAAAAGTATGATGTCCCTGTACATCATACTATTATATTTAAATTTAATGAATTGCTCGTGTTTTTTTAAATTCGGTTTCGTAAATAAATTTACGGTCCTGGAAATAGTGTTCGAGAACTATACGATACTATACAAGAAGATCAACAAAATTACAATGAAGAATTTAAATTAACGATAAAAGCGGTAATTACGATATATCGATATAAAGTTTCTTAATAAACGACAAAATATCTCACCGTAAATCCTATTCCCACGGTGGCAGAAAACGATCCCGTTTGAAACTTGCCTTGATCGAACTGAACTAGAAGAGAGGTTTTTCCGACTCCGCTGTCTCCTACCAAAATTGTCTGTAATTATAACAGCATTTATATATTTTTACACAATTATATTATATTATATACGCGATATAAATTACAAAATCTAAAATCGTTACGAAATTAAACCCGGTTCCGCGAGTTAGAACGTGGGTAACGACACGGTGTTTTCGCCGCCATCTTTATTTACGTAGCTACTGCGGATGAGATTTAGTTTTATTTTCCGAGAAATGGTCGAACGCGCTATTTTATATTAAATATTACGAATCTCAATAAATTTAAAGTGAGAACATCAAAATCGTTACATCGAAACACGAGACGAATCCGCTACGCTCTGTTCCTTGCCTTAAAATAATTAGGCCCTATAATTGATAAATGTTCAAAAGTTATTATTAATTAATACGGTTTGCTCTAGTTTTACGCCAGGGTGGCGTGACAGCAGTTGCCGCGTAAAACCGCGCAAATTTATTCTCCAACGCGAGTACTGTAGTTTACGATGACTGCTTACAGCGGAGAACGCAAGGTGGTCGGGATGTTCGAGGTGATCCCCGAATACGCCGATCGCGTGGAGTGATTCGCTACTATGACAGTTCGGAATGTTATGAATTTGCACATTTTAGGTAGCTCTTTTCTGCGTAAACAGTATGTATATTAATACCGGCTCCGATTCATTTATTTATTCTTAACTTCATTAGCAAAAACAAATGAGAAAGTGAATAGAAGGTCGAGGAATCCACGAAAAACAAGGTCGAAAGTCGACAAAGTTTGAGGATTCCCGGTTTAGACACGAAACAATTTATAATTATCAGAAAATTAATATGTTTAAAACGTTCGAGGACACTACTCGACAGAAATACAGGGAAACGAGAATATTCACCGTAACGAATGCCATTCGGTAGACCTCGGTGTTCGGTATGTCAAAAGCTGAAAAATACATTTTACTGACTTATTCCGTAGAACTAGATACGGATTAACCTAACCATATCTAGAAGACTAAAAAAGAAATATTTATTTCTCTATATAGAGGCCTATATAATATAAAGCGCATAAAGTTGTGACACAATATCTTTGTCCCGCAGATGATTATCTACTGAAATAGTTGGACCCACTCCTTAAACCATCATTTCCTAAGTTATCGCCAGCATCTTAGTTAACGCGTTCGTCAGTGCGGTTTCCATCCCTTCTCCATCCAGCGGAACGTTGTCGTCCAGAGATCCCGAAGAATTATAGACGCCTCCTTGTCTATGTCCGAAACCCTCTCGTTCTCCAAATTCGGAATATCTTCCACTTTGGGAATAACTTTGGAATGACGCGATATTTGTCGTTTGATTTATTTGGTTACGGTAACGCGATACACGGGCGATCCGCTGAGGGGGAAATGCCTCCCGGGAGGTGTTTTAAGGGAAACTGGTCCTTATTTACGTTTACAAATGTGAAGAAAATCAGGAAAATTCCACGTGGCCAGCCCGTTGGCCAAGCGCGAACCCACGACCAAATACCAATGTTTTGCGGTTTTACGCACTCGAATCCTAAATAGGAACGAGTTTTACACGGAAAGTCTTCCCGGAAAGCATTCCTCTTGACAGATTGCCAAGCTTTGTCTTACCCCATCGATTCAATCCAATCGAATTTTCAAAGGAAGTATAAACGTTTGTTGTTTGTAAGGACTCGCTAAGATACGACTATAAACGTGAAAATTTGAAATCATTTCAAGTTTTCGGCGACATTCTTTGTTGGGTCTCGTTTCAGATAATAGTTAACGGATTGTTTATAATTCATATGCCTCTGTGTCCATATTATACAATTAATTATGTACGATGTCTACGAGGACTTATTCTATTAATAGGACTTATTATACCTGTGACCTGGTTCTGCAAAAATAGTCTTTATTTTTCACGGGTGAAAAATAAAGACTATTTTTTCTGATTACTTCTCTTAAATTTGCAGAACCAGGTCACCGGTATAATAAGTCCTGTTAATAAAATAAGTCCTCGTAGACATCGTACATAAGAAATCCATTAATTAATTAAATGTTTTTTAAATTTTATTATTATTTTTCTTTTTTACTCGCAGGATTGTAGCTACTGTCATTTAACTAGTCTTTTGTAAACCTTAATGAAAAGATAAAAACCTTATCTTTCCACATATTCGTTCCATTCCAAAAAGAAAATGTTACGGCGAAAATAAGGTAACTAATTTATAATAATTAGGTATTATGTATTATAATAAAAAATTTGAGGAAAACAGAAAATTAAAGATATAGTTCGATAGTTATTCTTATACCTACCACATGAAATTTTATAGATTAAGAGAGAGCCATATTCCAAATGAAGTTCAGAAAAATGATAAATAGCATTATAAATGCTCGGTTTAAAAAAATCTTCGCAGGCTTGATATGTGGAGGACATCTGACAAGAAAATAACGAAAAGACGAAATCGAACTGACTGCATCACCATATAAACAAAACATAAAATTAAGATGTTTTATAAATAGTTTTATAAGTGATTGTATTCCTGATCGCAAGGAGTGGCAACGTACAAAAGAGAGTCGCGGCGAATGCACCCAAGATTCTGTGACATTTGACCTCGACGAAGAAACACTGTTATAATCACTCCGTGGCTGTAACGACAACTAACAACAGTAGTACTTGTTTAATCGGATTAGGAACCTTAGACAACATTTTAACAACAGTCACTAATTTTTGTAGTTGTTAACTCTCGGAATAGTTGATAATTTTACTCTTTTTATTATAAAAAAAGTGTTTAAATTAATGCCAAACATGCCGAACCGAAAAAAATACCACCCACCCCTAGCTACGCGCCAAGTTTAGGCTGTAAGATGGATGAGGCGTAACAACCTAGCCTAGATTACTTTTCTAAGAACTCGGAGTGTACGAGACACTCGAGTTGCGCTAATTCTCTGATGATCGACCATGGATTAGCGTTTGCCTATTGCAAGATAGTGTCATCATCAATGGTGGAATAGCTGCCTGGACGGGATATATGGAAGCAAGAAATCCCCACCCTTAAATTTCTTAAACCAATTGTAGTAGATCTGCCTGTTGACTGTCCCCAAATGCCTTACAGATGAGATCGTGAACCTTCGTTGGGTTGTGACCACTTTTGAAGCGATACAACAACAGCACGCGAATGTGTTGTTTCGAAAGTTTCGTATTGTCAAACATTACAAATGTGTCTTTTTCTAATGAAATTCCCCTCGGCTAATCTACTTAAATACCCATATCGAACGTCCCGAAACATTTTTTCCAGTCCTTTCTAGAAAAAAATCGAAATGTCTAAGTTTTGCCTTTACCACCCGCTAGAAAAGTTTAGTTTGATGGGATACGACAACGCGACAAACGGGCGATGTGACAAGATGCTTGGTGGGAAAACTTTTCACGGGGAAACTGGCTCGTATTCGGGTTTTAAACACGCGAAGAAAATCCAGAAAACTCCACGCGACCAGCCCGCTGATGAGACATAAACTCGCGATCAAATACCAATCGTTTTATCTACTCGGCCACTGGTGAGCCACAGCCGTTATAGATGCTTTACCAGACAACGCGTTCATTGTTTCTGTTGCGGTTTAACTGTTTTATTTTACGATACTGACAACGGTAATGACACAAAGACGACACGTAAATAATTTTCTGAAAGGTAGAATTGTGAGAAATCTACGAGCGGGTCAACGTTGCAACCCGATATGTTCAGGATTCTGGATGTGCAGGAAAGCGTCACATCCATTCGAGTCCGACTTCGAAGAGAGAATATGATGGGAAATGGACATCTCGGAGTTACTACCTCGTAACAGCACCGCTATTTGACGTTAACAATGCGTCTGGTAGATGGGCTGTAGACATCTCTGCAGGGTGCTCTGATGTAAGTTTCACGACAAACTGTCTACAGCCAATGGTCTTTTTGCCAGACTTCTATGCCGGGATTCGGTTCAATCGAATGCGACGCATTCGATTGAACCGAACCCCGCATAGAAGAGTCGGTTTAAGTTGGTGTCAAAAACATCGACATTGAATGAGTGGGACAATGTTCCGTTCACTGACGAGTCCAAATATAATCTGTAGAATGATTCGCGTTAGCTTAAACTGTAGAGAAGCGGGAAACCCGATACAATTCCACGAACATCGTAGGAAGAGCCCGATTTGATGGAATAGTGTGATAGTCTGGGGCAGCATTATTCTTAATGGCCGCATTGAGCCGCACGTTTTTGCAGCTCAACTCGTCAACGAATTTCTTGACAGCGAAGATATTCGTGGCGTAGAATGGTCGGGAAGACCTTATAACTCCCGCAGAATATGTGTGGTACGCTCTCGGAAGACGAGTTACATCCCGTCAGCCTTCGGCAAGAAAATTCCAGGAGCTTCGAGAATCATTTTACTTCCGACGGGGCAGTAAACAACGTTATAACCAGTACGACAATCGCCGCGCAGCGTGCGCGCCCGCAGGAGGTAACCACACGCCGTATTAACGTTTTTTTCTGCAAAAAGTTGTACAATGATTAGTATTTTTTCTTGTTGTTTAACTTTAGTACTTTGTCCTAATTTCTGGACAGAAAAAAATTCGCTGTATTGGAACAATAAGAAATGACAGAAATAATATGGTAACGAAGCAAAATGAAGCGCTAAAACAAAAAGAAAAAAAAACAGAAGATTACGCAAACGCTTTACGCGAAGATTAAAAAAACGTGAAAAAAATGAAATTAACAGAAACGTAGGATCAGATTTTTTAACATTTCGAGAGAAGAAACGGAGGTCCTAATAAAATTAGAAAATCTCCGAAGCAAAATGTCGGACGCGACAGAAGAGGAATGGAAAATACAGTACTACAGAGGATTCAAACAGAATGTACGGTGAACAAAATATCCCAGATTGTAGACCTTTGTCTTTATCTCCGTATTAAAAAAAGAGTTTCAAAACGATAACGATACCAAAGAATAAGCTTGTGTAATGAAATAATAAGTAATGCATACGTCAAGATGTGCACTGTCGGTCCGAGCCGCGGTCGTTACGGACGTCGGCGGTGTTTTTATGACGTACTTTATCAACGTCGGGCGAGACGTAACGAAACTTATAGCCTATAAAAATGCAGCGTGTTATATTCTACCAACTCATATTTTTACTTTTGACAATATTCGCGAGATCTTTACATTTTACAGACTTAGCTTTCGTCGATTTATATTACTTGTGCCTAAGTGTCACAAATTACAGTATTTCACTTCATTTGATGCATCGAGTCAGAGTGAAAAGCCCCAAAATGTGAAAACGATTCGTTTCTGACCGGTGACTTTATTCGTTCGAGGGTACAAACTAAGAATAAGAGAAAAAAAATGAAAAATGACTCGATGATGTTCAGTTTTGCTTTTAAAGACACTGCTACCGGTACGTTTGAAAATAAGAAAGTTTAAAAACACGGAGAAAATCTTCACTCGGGCGATCTTCCGAGAGGATTTTTGAGAACGACTTCTATTAGACACGTAAAGTAGGAAGACTCCACGCGCCCAACTACCAGCGTTTAATGGTTTTATCGGCTCGGCTGTTGTAGATCTACATCAGTTTTCTCAACGGGGGCGTTTTTCCACGTTCAGGGGCGATTAATAACAATTTATATTTTGGGTGGCGAAAAAACAATTTTCTGGGCGATATAGTAAAACATTATATTAAGAATAATTAGATATTTTATTCGTTATATCGTACAATAATTAACATTATACTAGTTACTAGTCTATTCGACGCGGCACAAATTTGGCGTTAGCCTCGTCCCTCGGCATGGGAATTTTGTAGCGAAGGGGGCGATACTACGTTGAAGGGGGCGACGATTCGTTAGTAAAACATAATATATTAAGAATAATTAGATATTTTATTCGTTATATCGTACAATAATTAACATTATACTAGTTACTAGTCTATTCGACGCGGCACAAATTTGGCGTTAGCCTCGTCCCTCGGCATGGGAATTTTGTAGCGAAGGGGGCGATACTACGTTGAAGGGGGCGACGATTCGTTAGAGGTTGAGAAACACTGATCTACACGGATAAGAAATGATCCAACGTATTAGATTAGAGAATTTAAACGAGGAAATAAAAATTAATGAAACTAGATTTAACATTCTGACGTACTGTACGTCAACCATAGTATGATAATGTAGAAACAGAGACGAGTTCGGAGTAGATGTACTCGCTGGAAAGATTAAAAGAAATTGGAGATTCGTTTGTTGAAAAAGTCCAAATATAATGAAAAAATTTTAATCTACGCATCGAAAAAGTAATTCAAATTTCGGCATCAGAAACGAAATTGGCAATATAAAGTCACGTTTAATCACTCTCGTCTAACCATCCGTTGACATTTTACAATAAACGACGAAAGAGGCTCTTCTAATACAAATCCGGCGCGGAAAAGCCATACAATCGACTAAGGTTACTTTCTAGCTTAATTTCGCTTCCTACGACTAACTCTTTTAACGTTATTACAATCAACATTTCAAAGTGGCTTTTGATAAACGAATTTGCGTGAATCGCGAGATTAAGAACCGAAATCCCCGATAACGAAATTTCGTTCAAGCCCATTGACGTCGCTAGTAACGAGCGCGAAATCCGCGGTGTTTCTATTTCGCGCTCGTTACTAGTGACGTCAACGGGCCCCTTCCGTTCTTCCCGGAAACTAGAACTTACCCAACGCCTAGAAGGACGGAAATCCGATAAAATAGGTACGATTCGGATCGGTTTCCGTTTCGACCGTCCATCCCTCAACCCGGGACCGACTTAACCGTTGTTCCTAGGGAACGGAGGGAAATATCTCCGGAAGAGCGGACGAAATTCAATCGATCGAGAGTAAGGTGGACAGGAAGTGTGGAGTTATTTCCGCGTCGGGTGCTGCAATTATTTAAACCACGCCGGAATATTATCGATTGGTTACTTTGACGTAATAAACACCGACTGTAAATAAGCGTGGTTAGAAGACGGTAGTCAATTTGTTTGACTCGCTCTCCGTTAAGATCCGACGAAAGAGAGGATGTTTCTCTCTTCCACTGGAAAATTCGACGTTGTAAACGTTACCCGGTGTCCGATCGCGCGGATTTAGTCGAAATCGCCCCGTCGTAATTAAACCGCCAAAAACAAAATCTAAGAACGTCCCGGAAGGAAAAAGCTTGCCATCTTACGTAATTGACCTAGATTTTAGGGCGAAAATCGATGGAAAATACGTCGTTCGTCCGTCGACCGATGGAGGCGGTCGTTGCATCGAATTTACTTGGACGAAAGGCGGAAGAGACGCTCACCTTATGAATAAGATCCTCGTGCTCCGGTTTGTCGTCCAGGTAAGCGTTGCTCACCGGATTAATCGGCGATTTGGCATTTTCTCTTCCGTCGCCCGCTATACGCAGTCCGTATTGCTCTGCCGGTCGACTTTCCGTCGTCGCCATCTTTCTATCGATCGCTAAGCTCGGGCGAGTCGCTGGTTAAGGGCAACCTCCCACGCCCCCGACCTTCCGACCATTCCCCCTCTTTCCTGGTAATTTTTAAAAATATCCCGGTCTTCTTCGCTTCCTATTTCCCCCGATTCGACGCCACTTATTTATTTCGTCGCCATCTGGCGCCAGACCAAAGTACCAATTCCCATTCTTACCGCCATCTGGTAAATTGTTTCGGTACCGAAAATTCTATTATTTCTTTGATAGAAATTCGTCGATGGAATGTGAATATTTTACCATATTTACCCAGCGAATACTATCGCGCGTCGCGTATTAAATACTATAGAAAAAAAACGAAGGAGGCGCTTTCCAGCCGACGGCGAAAAAAACTCGTAACTCTTTTGTTTCTCACCAGATGGAAGCATATATTTGAAAGGAATGGCTTTTTCGCGGGTTTACTTTTAAATACCGAAACGAACGGGAACGGAAATGTAAAGCATTTCGTAAGTTTTAAATATTATTACTTATTTCATTTTTGTTTATTTTTATTTATATTGATAAAGAGGGATCGAATTTCCAACGATTTCGGCCGAGCGAATTTATTTGTATCGCCGGAAAACTAAGAAATGAATATTTTAAAAAGTATATAAATAATTGATTCGGGAGACGACGCATCCGGCGGGTGGTAGAGCGACCAGGTGTCGGGGGAGGCCGGAAAAGGCGGCCCGGACGATATCAACAACAACAACAACGACGACGACGAAGAGGAGGCGGAGGAGGAGGAGGAGAAGAAGAGAAGAGCAGATGCCGGGCGACAGCTGGTTCGGCGAGAGAGAAAAGCCCGCGGCGCCGGTGGGTCCCGGCGCCGAAAGATCTCGCGACCTCCCGAAAAGGACAAAAAATAGCATCGGAACGCACCTGTCCTCGTCCCGTCGTCCTTTTCGATCTCTTCCGCGAGGAAGGAACAGGTGTCCACGACGCCTTCCATCCCATTCCTCATTAAATATTCGTTTCTTTGCCACGACTTATTTCTTCTTCGCTCTTCTTTCTATCCTTTCCTTTCGAAAAAAGAGATTCATTTTCTACAAAAGTTTAATCGTTATTTTCATAATTTTTGTAAGACTTTATCGAAAAGTCCCGGTTAAACGGAAGTTCGTAATAACGACTCAAAATTCGATTCGAGTCCCGATCGCTCGTAACTATTTCAGGATGGATTCACCTCGAAACAGCGGGCCTCGTTGTCGGTTCGACTAGCCACAACGCCAGAAGACGGCCTTTTGTTTAATGGATAGTTTAGCTACGACGTCGGGTGGCGCAGTACCTGCCCGGATGCGGTGGATGAAAACAAAGCTAATGGGTTAATGTTGTGTATTAAGGGTATGCCCGCGTATTCTCGAGGGGAAAAAATGCCGAAACGTTACGTAAAATAATCATTTAGCATATTTATACTATACGAAGCAATGTTTTTTATTCCGGTCCTACGTCGAAACTGAATAACAAAGGGAAAAGGCAAGTCTAGATATAATGCCTACGAGAGTGAATAGGTATAACTTTAGACTGAAAAAAGATGGGCAAAAAGTGCCGATTTAACGATTTTCGGCCGTTTCGAGCCGGACCTAATCGTGACGTCTCTACCAAAATTGCCGAAAATCGCTTTCGTTCGAAACGTCGAAAGCGATTTTCGACGTTTTCGAAGTCAAACGTCGACTCTTTTAAACCCAGAAAATCGAGAATATCTGTCCAATGAATTGTTTTCTCTTCGAAATCCAAATTCCACCACCGAAAATGGATTTGATATAGTCCCTAGAAGGAACCGCTATTCTAGATACTCTTTATTCAGACGGAAGTTAACTTTGCATCCGGGTGGCAATCGATTTCTCTACTCGAGGGCGGATTCGAAGGGGTAGGGTGGCGCGGAAAAGAAAAGAAAAGCCACTCGTCGAAAGTGCCGTCTCCGAAAAATAAGACAATGGTTTGGAATTCGGATGGCAACAACCAAGGAAATCGAACCGGGAATCGTCCCGAAAGTAAACGCGTTTGGCGGGAAATTCAGTCAACCGAAATCGGAGGCGGTTCCGAATAATGAATTTAAACGATAGATGGCGACGAAATAATATTGATAAGCCGATAGAAATTATTTGGAAGGGTTATTCCAAGGTTACTAATTATTAATCGATATCGAGAAATTTGGACCCTATCGGATCCACCAAACTTTTCACTTTGTTCGGATTGCGCGTTACTAACGGTAACAAGTACTGTACTTTCACCACTCTCTTAATGATCATTCGCTACCGTAGCCGTCGAATGTCACTACGGTTTTTACGTACAGTACTCTGATGTTTATGTATACCTACCACTGTATCTTAATTTTTGGGACCCGAAAGAAGCTGCGGACACGGTCCTCGAATATCGACGATCGACCCGCATTCGACGGGAGAGACAATGTAACCGAAACCGAATTCGAATACCATCAACCGATACTCGTAACAGTAACAACTATTTTTATTATTTGGATAATACAAAAATTACCGAGCTAAGTACAAGTGCGAACTCTTATTATATCAATAGGTATCACCTGTTATAAATGAAGATGATAAACTTCCGTTTAATTCGATTGATACAAATACCGGCGTTTACACGGGTTAGAAAACTCGCTTCTCGGCGCCGTCTCCAATAATCGTGGCGTTAATTCTCCGCATAAAATTTTGGTCAGACACGCTTACGGAGTCTCGGTTTATCCTCCTTTCACGCTTCCGATTTCAATCTTTCTCTAAAACTTATTTTTCTCGAGAACGATCCGTAATTGTAAGCATTCTATTTTCTCCCAAGCGCTCGAGAAACTAACTTCGTTACAACGGGAAGTGACGGCGTAGGCGGCGGAAGACTTTGTCCGGAGAGAAAGTGATCGTTTTTATCTCTGGACACCTGACCGAGAACCTCCTTCCGGAAGAACACGGATGGAATCTCCAAAAACTTTCTCTTCCCTACCTTTTGTAAAACAACCGCGCCGTCACGTGACCAAATCTATCGGTAGAGTCTCCTCCGAGTCAGAAAACAATTCCTACAAGCGGGAGAAGTCTTCTAGTGCTCTTAGCCCTTTCGTCAATCGCGAGTTTGCTTTTTACGTCGGAAAAACTCCGTTAACTTTTGGATCGGAATGTGGCGATTCGAAACTTTACGTCCATTTGTCGGCGTCTGTATCCGCCAACGCCGCCGAATTCGAAGAAAGTTCTCCCTTCGAGCATCACCTGGCGGTTAGTTTTTCGAATCGTTTCCCGCGTGGATGGATAGATTGGCGACTCGTCACGCTGCGGCTGGCTACGTTATTCCGCTCGATTACGTCAGAGCGCGATGCGCGAGCGATTAGAGTGGCATCGATTACGTCACGCGCGAGGTAGGAAGAGTTCCATTTCGGCTTACAATCCGTTAATTGCCGGCGCAGTTTTCAATTCGTGCGGAATTTTACCGTCTTTCTCCCTTAACCGGGCTAGGAAATTTCCCATCCCACCGAGTTCGTATTTAAATATCGGGCCGCGAGGTTTTTAAAAGTACAGCCCGGCCATTTAATTTGCGATTTTGTACCGTAGATAGCGCGTTAAAACTGCTTTAGCACTCGATTCGATGCGGGAAAATGTAGAGCCGACGATCGAAACGTGATTTCCATTACAAATAACGTAGGAAAGCCACACTCGTCGCCGTCCGGTGGCAAAAGCTTCGGCCGTTTTTTCACCATTAAAGTAACGCCAGTGGCGCGACAGATCCGATGGCTTTTGCGGTTAAGTCGCGTCGCGCCACTGGCGGTACGCGGCGCGAGGCGCGCATCCGAGGTTTGTTTACGGAGAATATTTGGACAGATGTGACCGTAATCCGCGGCCGAATAAATTCTTTGTGCCCCGGGCTTCCGTTGCCGCTAACAATGCAACGGCCGTCCCCCGCGCGCCCAGATGGTGGCTCGACCGACGCAGATGGTCGTCTCACGTGACCCCCGTCCGGTGGGGCCATTGGTCGGCGGGACGGAGGACTCGGAAATTCGTTAGGGAACGGCGCAGTTTGCTCGCGTCCCACTCGCCCCTTTATTATTTAACGGAACGAATTTGGATTCGGTAAACGATCGGAGCGCATTTGACGCCACGTGTCGTCTCTCCATCACTCGCCCTTTAGGCCGGTGACGTCACCGGCTCTAGTGGCTAAAAAGTAAATAAACTGGCGTAAATGGGGGTACCGAGATAGAAAGGGACCGTTCTGAATCGAACGACTGGCAACGCGGCGCGATTATTTCCTTTTTTCCATAATAATTTACGCGAGAAACGAATAATTCGGACGGAAGCGATCGGATTTGATACTTTTCTCCGTTTATGTGGAGACGGAAAGCGAAAATTCCCTTATCGGTCGAGGCCTTAATTTCGCGCCACCGTGGTAACAGTCTTTTCGAAAACAAAAGTATAAGATGACATCTCCGGGCCACCGTCCGAAAATCGGATCGAGCTTCCGTTCGACTCGGCCGATTAAATGAAATTCGATCCGAGAAGATCTCGAGCAAACGTCGGTTTAGAGCTTGTCCTCCGGCCACACCGGAAAAGAAGTTCTCCCGAAATTCCGTGCGGGGGGCGCTGGCTGACGCCACCGACCGACGCGTTCGTCTCGATACATTATCGGGATCTTTCCGGTGGACGAGAATGCGGATGCGTCCGACTTATCTAGGCATTTACCCCCCAAACGAAACGCCGCAATCGAAAACCCCGGAGGGTACAGTACGTGGCTTTAACGCATCCTCTTATTTCCCCGTTAAATTAAATTCTTATAACGACTTCGTTAGGCGGGAGTTGGTAAAAACTTCTTTTATAAAGGAAACGCGCGCTCGCCATTAAATAGGACTGGCGTAGGTATATATGGATTATGATATAGTTAAAACGGCTTTCCGTACGTAAAAAGCTGCCGGACCGGTCACGTGTTTTTCAAGGTCGTCCTTGGTTTCGGCGGTCGGGCGACGGAAGGTTAACCCTCGCGCTTCTTTTTTATAACCGCTTCTGTTCTGGCTCAAGCCCGAAACTTTCTCGTCGACCGTTCTCTTACGTAATCGCTTACGAAAGACCCTTCGAGCTCGGCAGCAACGGCCACGTATGCTTGGATCACGCGATAGTAACCGGTAACGCTTAGGGCTATTAAAGCGTCCCCCCCGCACACCTTACAAAAGTAGAAACGCGGCCGGAGAACATTTTCTGAACCAAACGTTAAGTTTATTAAAAACAAGTACCGGTGTATGCGGGGGGAT